GGCACCTGATCACAGCTGCAGTAGGACAGAGAACCTGTGTCAGTCAACGAGTGCTGAAAAACACCATCTGCTGGTTAAATATAATCTGGTTAATTAGTTAATTAAACATGTAATTACATTTTTTTTCTGTTTCCTGTAATTGTTGGAAGGGTAAACATGATTTCTTCTTCCACCTGTTTCCTCTGGTTTGTTGCTATCTCTCTGCTGAGTACCAGGTACTGTATGATAAAGGCTCTTTCGACCAGTGCGTCCACTGAATGGAGGCAGATGAAAGTGATACCACCTCAGGGTTCTAAAGACACTGAAATGTCACGATATTGCTCTGAAACGAATAATCAAAGACGTTTATCGGGTTCATCCTCTCGTTATTTTCCCGTCACCTGTTTTTCTATCCATTACCAGTCCATCTGCCAGCATGTGGCCCTCCTGTCTCTGGCACCCTGCAGGCCAACACAGCCACTGCAGGTGGATCATAATTTCTTAGAACAGTTTAACAGAACATCACATCAACACTTTGCTCTGTCTCAATTACCACCATATGTCACGGGCCACAAACACCACACCTAGCTGCACTGTCAACATGTTTGAACATAATGTAGTTCACTGTTTCCCAAAGACTGGGTCACGACCCCCAGGTGGGTTGCAAGAGATTTTTTTTGGGTCATCTCGCATCATGTTTCCCAGGAGTTTACGAATGATGTCTACAGTATTGACTTGGGTCGCGAAGGTTTGTGACTTTTAAAATATGCCCCCCCCCCAAAAAAAAAAGTTTGGGAAACACTGATGTAGTGGAGCTCATCTGTGAGCCACAAAATTCTCTCCAAAGCAGTGGGTTTCACAGGGTGACGTCTACCTAAACTCGGGGGTGGGGCAGATTCGGACGCCCGGGCATTGAGTTTGACACATGCATGATAAATCTTCTGTGTCCAAGACTATTGGGTTATACAAAGGAAGGAAACCCTGATTGACACATCCCACTCTCCGTCATCGCATCAAAACTACAAAAAGAAGGATATTGGTGTTTCGACGGGAACCGTGAATGTATGCTGCACTGAACTGCCGTTTTTTTGTGACTCACTCTGTATACCTGGCAACGTTTTCTGTGTTCATCTCTCAATGCACTCTCTTATGTGCTGAAAGAGCACAAATAGACAAAGCTGCGATGTAGCCCGAGGATGCGATCGGCCGTGTTGATTACACACTACTTTTTTCCAAATACATCTCTGTTAATTGACAGCTGTTGAGTTGGGAGAAGTGTTTACACCTGTCAGATAAAAATCAAATATGTATGCTTTTCTGACAGAGCCCGCTGCTGCACTTTGCCTAATTAGCGTCCTGATGCATTCATGGGGAACGGCAAAGAGTGGAGAATCTGGGGCTTCTGGGGCTTGAACGTATACATAAACTCCAGAACCTTTGTCAGAAATGAGGGCTATTTCAAATTACTATTTCCACATTTGTCAACAAGAAACTTCCTGAGAGTCAGACCAAAAATGTAAAAAAAGTGTACGACATTGACTGGACCAAAGTTTGTGAATAAACTGGTTGAACCCAGCAGAAAGTTGCTTTTTTGAATTTTATGGGTAAGTTTGGAATTTTCTTTAGAAACAAATTGGCTAACATTTCCTCTTTTTTGACAAATGTCTATCATCTTCATTCTTCTTTGTCTAATGGTTCTTTTTCTCATCCAAGGAATAAAATCCAGTTCTTTTAAATGTTTTTTTTTCAGTGTTGGGAAAAGGAACCGAATGACATAGAACTCAAACAACACTTGGATTTAGATTTTCTGATTTTTGGAGTTTTAAATTTGATGCTTGCTCAAATTTTAAAAACATGTTCAGCTGTTAAAGACGCCTGTGAGACGTGACTTATCCGGTTATTTTTTTCAGGCCAGACTACATTTGAAAAGATCAGTCTTATACCTTTTTGACCAACCCTAAAACTATGAATCATTTGAATAGGGGTGAAAACTGAAACACTCACCATGTTCAGCTTTAGCTCCATGTTGAGGACTCCTCCACTGTCCAACACCGGCATCAGGTTGATGGCAAACACAGCGTCTCGGTCGGGTGGAATGGACATATTTGGACCAAAGAAAACGTAGAAGTGCACGGAGAACGTGTCCAGCTCGTTTCGCAGAGTCGGGCGGATGGGCCAGCACTTGTTGGTGTCAGTGATGGGGGCGAGGTAAATGACGCCGTCATCCGAGGTTTGCAGGTTTGAGGCATTAGGCAACAGTCCAGGCAGGTTAGCCAATGAAAGGGTCTCGGACAGGGAGAAACCCATTGCCGATCCAAACGACTGAGGCATGTTCATGGACGAGCTGGGCTGCGCTCGCTCCTTGGATAAATTGAGCTTGGAGCAACCTGTTCATGACAAAGAGAAAAATCTCAAGTGACCTTAGACGTGGAAATCTCTGGGTATCACCTGATATGATACCTTTACAATTATGAGGCCAAGAATAATGATTATAGAATTATTATAAAATGATCATGCTAATACAGGGAGTCCTCGACTGATGTTGGTTCCATTCCTACGGTGTGTTGTACTTATGTCACTCACCTACGCTAACACAGTGGTCATAATCTAGGACATAAAAACATCAGAAAGCGAATGTAGCACAATCTAGTGAATGCTGTACAAACTAGCAAATGTAAACAAAGCCATCTTCCACATATAGCGATGCGTGACGATGTTGGAGCATTTTATATCATGTTATATCAGTTTATATCATGTCCTTTGTCCACCTCACAGTTCAGCATTTAGGTCAGAGTTCACCAGTTGAAAGTCATTGTTGTGCAGTGGCTCTTGTTCAGCCATGTTTACCGAACCTGGAAATCATTTAAGGAATCTACATGATGCAGTGACCTCAATGTTGACCCCTAGATATGCTGATCTCATTTGTTGATATTTTTGACAACCATGTTTTATTTTTAAATAATTCATATTTGTCATTTCTTCCAGCCCTGACATACACACGGATGTAATAATGTACATGGCAACAGGCGGTGCAGAAAATCCTCATCATTAAATCACATAACCAACCCCCCAGCAACCCGCACACAAACAGGTCAAAACAAGCCAGAAAACCTGCCGGCATCATTATGCATGCTAAGCAACTAAGTCTTTTGCAAATGTCTAAAATGAACTGGACAGCCCTTAAAAGAGGGCCCCCAACCCCATACTCTCGAAGCACCCTCCACAGAATACCACGAGGGACACGATCGAAAGCCTTTTCCAAGTCCACAAAACACATGTGGACCGGTTGGGCAAACTCCCATGAACCCTCAAGCACCCTCTGAAGGGTATAGAGCTGGTCCAGTGTTCCACGACCAGGACGAAA